CTTTCTATGGTAGAAATATGAAGCCCCAATCTGTCTTAGAGTACAGATTGGTGACCAATGTAATCTAGGATAACCTGGTTTGCCACTTTATGCGTGCAAGCATTTTTATCCCCCGCATATTGAGATTTGATTTGTCTGATTTGGTTCTAGTTTACAAAAGTAAACACATACAAGTCTCATAAAAATCACATAAGAGATCTGTACTGAAGCAGAACAGCGGCTGAAACAGCAGTTAACAGTTATAACAGTTAATGGAGGAAATATTTGAGTGTAAAGAGACCTCGCACAAAAAAACTTTAGCCTTTATTTAAATTTATAACAGGGGTGTTAAACTGTATTCAAAGTAAATAAAGTATATGTGTTCTTAATATTCAAACCTTTAGCCTGCATAGCTTGTTTGTGTGATTTTAGGTTAGATATATCAAATTATCAGTCTGGTAGGACTTTTTAGTACTACCAGGGTACTATTTACCCCACATGTAGTTTGTTTGAATCTAGTAACGGTAATATAACACGGGCCTCCATCGCCACAGCTCAATCAAAAACACAAAGAAAGAAAATATGAGGAAACTGGAGGAAGATATTGCAGTAGTAAGCAGCTTCTTTATGAATGTTACTTTATTTGGAACTACCGTTAAATGCAATGCTCACTTTCGATCAAACGAGGGCGCAGTCCGTTTAATTCATAAATATGAGCTTTTTAGCTCCATTTTTGATAGAGTATACGGTCTAGCTTAGTAGGCCCACGACTTGTTTAAAAGGTAAGCTACAAACATCTGTACCAGACGTGTCTCTAGACCCGGTGAACAGAGCAGACTAAGCCTGTTTAAGTCAGCCATAGCGCCTCCCTGGTCCGACTTCGTGGAGTTTCCCTTCTCCCCAGCTGTTGCTCGTCTTTTAAAATAACCTAAGTTTCCCGTTAGCTTTTTCACTATGATACAAACAAAACATGCCGGTTAGCTGGTGCTTTTGCCCCCAAACACTATGTATAAATGCTTACCATGACAAGAGGGAGAAACTTGAAAACCACCAACCCTCCAGCGGAGGCGACTCTTTTCTCTGTTCAGCGCTGGCGGTGTGATTTTCCAGAGCAGTTCATTCCTCTTAGAGCAAAGCACGGCTATAACACTTTGTTTTGACGCTGGATAAAACTAGAGGGCGTTTTTCCTGAGTGTTTGGGTATGTTCCATTGATTTGGGACGGGGAGCTCTTCACAGAAACCACTCCTTGCTGCTTCGTCCAGCAGTGATGTCATGCTGACCCCCATCCCCCAGTTAACCATTTAGTGTCGTACCTTTTTTCCGTGAACTCATCGACTTTTCTTGCCACGTTACAGTATTTCAGGATAAATACATGGTTTGACTGAGTACTTCCAAGTCCAAGTGTGTGCAGATCGTATGGTCCTAAAAGGTATGGTGGCCCTAATGTGGTAAAATGTACATTTTTTTAATTAATAGGTTAATAAATAAATAAAATAAAAACACACACACACACAAATAACGAAAGAATGAATTGTATTGTGCTTGGCAAATTTTTGTTTTCACCCGGGGATAACACAAATTATTGTAAATCATTTTTGGATGCTTGCAATTTGGTTGCAATTTCAAAACAACGCCACTGAAAAAAGCCCCCCACACACTGGCACCATCCATGTGCCGCCTAAACAGGAAATTATGGTTCAGCAGTGCTAGTGCACTGGACATCTGTGGCAGTCTGTGAAGTGCTACAAACAGTGTCTGTTGTCAGATAGGGGTTGTGTCAAAAGTATGATACTCTTGCTTGTGCTGTTCTTGGTCCATCAGCCAGCCACAGAGACAAAAACGAAATAAAAATAATGGAAACTGTCCACTGCAGCCACTGTCTGCAATATTCATACAATGTTCAATTATTTGTAATATCTTTGATGGGCTTTTTGTGCTTCTTCCATTCTTGGTGGATTCTGCTGTTTTCTTCTTTTTCTTTTCCCTGTTCTGGTCAGCATTCGACCTATACACAGCACTACCCACATCCAGCAATCTGCAGTTGAGATTGTGGAGGACTGCACTGGAGCACTTTTAGGTTGATTGAAAACCCTTCTCCATAGCCAAATACATATGGAAATGGACACAATCATGGTGCCATAAATTAAGCATTATTTGGCACACTTTTTTTCCCCACATGCAGTCATCGACTTTTCTTTCCACATACAGCATTGCTGTATTTCATAAAACACAACATTCAGAACAAAACAACACAATAACAGAGGGGTGTGCTACAAAGTGATATTAATGGCTTGGCAAATTAATTTCACTTTGATCTGCTGACAAACTAAAGTTATGGGCTATGGGATGGTAAAAATGTATCTTTAAATTGATTAAAGTTTGACATTTCAGAGCTCTAATGTGCAGATGTAAAAAAAAAGAAAAAATATAGTGGTATTTAGAGTGCGCTCAGTGATAAATATACATATATATATATATATATACATATATATATATATATATATAATTTTTTTTTTTTTTTTTTAAACTGGAATTAAATGTTTACCACTCTTCATGTAAATTGTTAAATTGTTAAAGCCCAAGATAAACTATTTTATACAGTATTAATCTTTTGTCTCATTTGCAACATGATTGCATTTTACTGTTATATTTTAGATGTTCTTTATTGATTTTTCATCACAATTTTATCATCATCATCTGCTAATGTCTCTTATTGGAGCAGTCAGCGCTCATAAGGATCATTTTGTGTGAAAGAAGAGTTATGCAACCCATGAAATGCACTTTTTCTTGTGAGCAAGCACAGAGCCTGAAGCAAAAAGCCTAGCTTAACTGAGAAAGTTGATAACCGCTGTCATGATACCCATCATATCCAGCTGGGTTTTGAATTTTGTCGAGCCAGCTACGGCAAAGAAAGCTTGGTTGTGTTGAAATACATTTATAGTATACCCTTCAGGAGAAAACAAAATTATTTGTCAAAAAGCTTGAAATTGGGGCCTAGATGCAGACTGAGAAGGCAGGCAAAGTAAACACACACAAAACGCACCTTTAGTAGCGAATGGATCTCATTCGCTACTAAAGGTAATGTTTTGTTTGTTGCTTCGATCCAATTCAGAAATGAAAAAAGTCCACAAACATGCAAGAATAAGAGTGGGAAACACACTAGAAGGATAAACATGCATGGTGATAAAGGCTGAGGAGAAGACAGTAGACTTTAATATACATAAGGGTAACCAAGAGAAGTGGACAAAGCAGAGTAAGCACACAGATGATAAAAAATAAAGACAATGAGACAGGAGTGTAAGCAAACCTAAACACAAAACTTTAGAAACAACAAGCAAAATAAGACAGAAAGAAATTTCTACAGAGGCCAGACCCACACAGACACCTAAGAGCTGCTAAACAATGAGGGAAACTGGAGTGAAAGAAAGCTGAGAATGTGTCGATAGTTGTGCACATTGTCATTTGGTAGGATATTAGCAGCAAATACAAGCAATGCAAGGGATAATACATAAAGGTTGTTTTTTTGTATAAAGGGTATAATTTTTTGATAAAGTCTATCAATGATTGCAGAACTGGTGATAACAAGGTGATTACAGAAGTGTATAATTTAATGGTATTAGCAGCAGTAGGACTTTTTTTTCCCAGTTATTCCCCGAAATTTGATTTGCATTATAATACAATCCTGATTTTATGAACTTTAAAAAGCATGTTAAAAATTTTCTTTCCCCCTTCCTTTTCCTTCAGTGACAGATTAGTAATGGATAGGTACAGCTACAGAGAAACAGGCTGACATATTTCCTGTCAATTATGTTTTTCACAAATGTTTACTCGTTAATTGCTCATCTAAAGTAATTGATTAGCTACCCAAGGGCACTTATTGCTCATTCAAAGTGGCCACTTACACTTGTCTAGCGGTTTATTGGTAATTCAGACTAGTCTTTTAAATGTTGTAGCACATGTTAACCAATCAAATCAAGATTTCTAGAAAATAATTGGCTCATTTAATATAATCTATTATTCATAGTATTGTTTACCTTTGTGATAATAGCCCATAGCCCATCCCTGTTTTGTGAGATGTTGTTTTATTTGCTTTGTTGATGTTGATTTTGTGATATGGAAGAATGTCATTATTAATCTGCTTTATGCAACAGACATAGATAGTGACCGATGAATTTACATATTAATGATTCCTTATATTAGAATATTTGCATGTTTGTTTATTCCAATTGGTAACACTACCAGTTCCCTCAGCAAGGCTCTCAAAACACTTTCCTCACACCTGGAAACAATATTCAGAGTTTTACATGTTTCTGTGTAAAACCTTCTTTCAATACTGCATGTAAAAGTGGACTAATTAACCATTCAGTGCAGTATATACTGCATGCACTTTATTGGACAGTCAGTCCAATATAGTTAAGTCAGCATCATCAGAAAACAAAGAAAATATAATATAAAATATAATCTATCCACAGCTGTTAACACAAAGTCATTAATAATCTCTGTCATTAGTAATCTCCATATCAGTAAACTGATGCCCATTCTCTGAATACTGATTTCAGAGCATGAAAGCCCATTTTGGTATTAAGTGAATCCCTACTACAGCGATCAAGGTAGTTTTAAAAAAGTGGTTTACAAAAGGTTTATCAGTTGAGGGCTGGGGAATTTTGGACTGATTCCATCTTGGACAGGTAGGATATGAAAGTCATTCTATGTGGTGTTCCCACAGATGACGTGGGATAGAGATACTGATGTAACAGTCTGACCGAGAGCTAAGTTGGATTAGCATTTATTTTTCATTTGTGTGTGTGTGTGTGTGTGTGTGTGTGTGTGTGTGTGTGTGTGTGTGTGTGTATTAAAGAGTCATCACAAATATTCGAAAATATATCTATCTATGAATATCACAGAAAAGTGAAAACTCCTTCGTTTGGACAGTGGACGTAAACGCAACCTAGACACGTGACTAAAACCAGGAAGTGAATTCAGTGTCAACAACAAAAGGGTGAGTGTGCAGTTATTCGTATAGAGTTTTAGTTTTATTCTTAGTTCTGTAAGGCTCAGTTATTTAAAAAAAATGTTTTAAATCACCCAAACTAAACGGCATGAAAAGTTTAATTTAGAAAATTCGGCATGCTTCGTGAGCAAACGCTAGGCAGCTAACCGGGTCGAGTGGTAACGTGATTCATTACAACCTCGTAGAAAAGGTAATCGTCAGGTAATAGCGCATTTTGTCGTGAGTTCCTCCTGTGGATCATGGGTCTGAGGTTTATTTTGTGTCAAAAAGACCTGCCTTATCTTCACACTGAAGCAGAGTGAAGTGTAATATTATACTGTTAGCTAACAGTGTATATGTTGTGGTCTACCCTACTGTGTTAAGCTTGTGTTCTGTGGACTAATTGCAGGTGTGTAGGGTTATTAAACAGGAAGAGATGGCCTCGTCAGAATGGAATCTGTCTTTGAAGCTGGTTGATCAGCCCAAATCTACCTTCCACTTCCCGGAGATGATGCCAGGTGATGTTCCACCTGGAGGATACAGGGTCGCCACCCTGAAACAGCTTGTTGCAGCTCAGTTCCCAGACTCCATCCCAGACCCTGAACTAATAGGTACACCCAAAAACCTCCACTGTTAAACTTGGGTTGATATGAGACCTTGACATACAGCATGAAGTGCATGCTTATTGTTCATCATCCTTTAGCTGTCAGTGAAATCTGTGCATGTCTCTATGTGAAAATCTCACCACTCTTCTGTGTGTTTACCAGAGTTGGTCCACTGTGGACGCAAACTTAAAGATGACCTTACACTGGATGCCTGTGGGATTCAACCAGGATCCACCTTACACATCCTCAAAAAGACGTGGCCAGAGCCAGAGAGTAGTCCAGGTCTGTGTGTATGCATCATTTAAGCTTAAAACTGTGTTTAAGCTGTAAATGACATTGAACGTGTGAATCTGAATGTGTGTTTGTATTTTCCAGAGCCAGTAAACAGGGTAACTGCAGCAAGGGAGTTCAGGGTGTTTCATGCTGCTCTTCATTCTCTCAGCTCGGCCTACAGGGACTCGGTGAGTAGAGGAGAGGAAACACACTGACGGTAACTGAGCTGCTTAGGATTTCAGCTAATGTTTAGTGAGTGTTAAAAAGAACTTGATTCTTCATTCACTTCTTATGAGATTTCTCTCTCTCCACAACAACCATTTTGGCTAATATCTAAATTTTGTTTGAGGAAAAGAAGAATCAGAGATCTTTTGCTTGTTAGGCAAATGTGTAAACAAGCTGCTGTTTCAGCAAGGCGTGAATGCTGTTATGCACAGTATATTAGATTAGTTAATGACTTTTAAAATTAACATTGGTTTTCCAGTGTTAGTCCATGATGTGTTAACTCTATTTGAAGTAAAGTACCGGAATAAGAAACTCATTTCAGCACCTGCAACTGACGCATGCAGTAGAATGGGACCACTGAAGGTCACTTTGAGTCTCATGTCTTGTCCTGAAGCTATCATTAGCTTCTTTACTTTCTATCATTAGCTTCTTTACTTTCCAGAGCCCTGCCATTAGACAAGGTAGTTCATCTTTCAGAGAAAAGTACACAAGTGTTGACATTTTGTGTTTTTGAAAGACATTGTACTCTTCCATTAATGACAAGTATGCTTAAAACAGTTGGCCCTAAATATGAACCACTCAGCTGGAAATATTTTGTGGTGGTTTCACAGCTGCTTCTTGTGCTTTTTTTTTTATTATTATTATTATTATTTTTACAGTGATTACATGCCTTGAACAGACAGAAGTGTAGTTCCAGAAAAGAAATGTTGTTTTGTGTTGAGTTAAGGGAATAGTTATCAAGTGAAAACATGAATCAGCTGTAAGAATGGAAAAACAAAAATCATTCATAATTCATTGGCTTAGCTCTTTATTTTTCTTTTTTTTTTTTTAGGCCATGTGGCTTCACAGCTTGCATAAAGTTATTTGACACAGGCACTAAATTTTATTTTTGTCATGCCTTAAACTAAAATAAATACATAAATAAGTAAACAAATAAGCGTTTGTCCTTGACCATGCTGGAATCTTCTCCACTGTCCTTTGGATGATGTCACATCTTTGTTCAGTGGTGTTTACCTCTGATTGCATCACCCTAGTTGCATGTCGGAGCTATGGATAAACAGACCCCAGGCCACTAGGAGCTGCTTTAAACATAAATGAGTTTAACTGTTGCAGCCTTTGCAGCATTCAATCTCAGCAACATTACAGCATGTTGGCTTAAAAAAAGATTGGACTAGGTGGATTCTACATAAACTGGTATAAATAAGTCACTGCTATTGATAGTGCACTATATGAACAAAACAAGTGTGCCACATATGCATTACAAGAGCTGCTTGGCCTTGGTCCACTGGAGCTCCAGGGGCACCTTATTCAATTATTAAATCTTTCCCCCATAAAGACAGCATTTGATGAACTCCCCGTACCCTTAATGATGAGTTTTCTGACACCCCAGAATAAATCTTTTTTTTTTTTTTTTTTTTTTTTTAAGAGATGTTGTTTAACATCCATTGGAATTGTTTCGGGGTTTTTCCAAGCTGCACAGGCAGAGACCAAACCCAGTAATCTTGTTCTTTAAGCAGGCCTGACATATGGCAGAAGCCATTCACTTCAGAAAAACAAGTTCAACCGTTACTTATAGTGACCTTTAGAATAGAATAGAATAGAATAGAATTCAACTTTATTGTCATTGCACATGCACAGGTACAGGGCAACGAAATGCAGTTTGCATCCATCCAGAAGTGCTTTAGTGATATCCTTTCAGTCCTTTCAGGGAGTAAAGAGTTATGAAGTGTTTGCCCCAGTTCTTTGGTCCATATAGTGTAGCTCATAAAAGTCAGGTCAGATGATACAGTAGGTCCTGTAGATGTATATAATCAGACGTACTTGTTAGTTCACATGCTTTGGGTGCTGTGTTATGGCCCTCAAACATCATTGCTATCATCCTCAACTTGTCATTTACATTCTATATAATGTACTGTATTTGAACAACTAGTACTTGCCCATGCTACAGTATTGCTTGGCCTGTTTGTACTTTTTGGCATACTGATAGACTGCATTGCCACGAGAAAAGTGAAACAAAAAAAATCAGGTTAATAGATGTTAACCTATAACATCTACAGTAGATTTAATAGATGTTGTTCCCAACAAGCTCATCTATAACTGGAAGGTTGCCGGTTCGATCCCCGGGCTCTCTGTCCTGGTTGTTGTGTCCTTGGGCAAGACACTTTACCCTACCCTACTGGTGTTGGCCAGAGGGGCCGATGGTGCGATATGGCAGCCTCGCTTCTGTCAGTCTGCCTCCACCAGTGTGTGAATTTGAGAGTGAATGAATAGTGGAATTGTAAAGCGCTTTGGGTGCCTTGAAAAGCGCCATATAAATGCAATCCATTATTATTATTGTTGTTATTATTATTATTATTATTATTATTATTATTATTATTATTAGTAGTAGTAGTAGTAGTAGTAGTAGTAGTATTATATGCTAAAAATGGGTAATTTTAGCCAATTGCTAACTGGTTGCTAGACATGTATAATTCAACTTTTGAGGCTATAAATGAGATGTTACTGGCATGAAAATAAAACAATAAGATGCTTTCATGTGGCTAAAAACAGGGTTTTTTTAGCTCATTGCTTGGTGGCTGCCAAGACACTTGATGACATAATATATCATGAATAATACTACAATTTAGTCATTTTAGTTTGCTAGTTGGTTGTTAGGCAACAGGATGATCTTATCATCTCTGATATCGATTATAAACTCGAGGGTCCTAAGATGCACCCTTGTGCCAAGTTTGGTTACTTAAACTCTTGATGGTCTCTGAGGAGTTTGCGATCAAAGAAACAAAGCTAACCCTAACAGAGAGGCAGAAGTTTCATATGTTATCGTAAGAAAACACTAGTAAATACCACAGCTGTTACTGTAACTGCTGCTACATCACCACTTCTTCTTCTGCTACTATATTTATTGTCTTTTCCCCTCTCATAGGTCTATAAAATGCTGACAAACAAAGAGTCTCTGGATCAGATTATTGTAGCCACACCTGGACTCAGGTCAGACCCAGTTGCTCTAGGTAAGGTCATTCTGAGTTTTATGAACATCTTTAAGCGGGTTTTGTTGTACCATGCAAATAGTAACAATTTCCTTAAATCCACACTCAGGAGTTCTCCAGGATAAAGATCTCTTTGTACAGTTTACAGACCCCAACATGTTGGATGGGTGAGTATGGCTTTCCTCTGATTTCAGCTCTGTTATGACGCATAATATTCATGTACAGTGCGGTGGATGGTTGTCTGTCTCTCATAGGTTAATCAGTTCACATCCGGCCCTTGTCAATGCCATCATCCTGGTCCTGCATTCTGTGGCAGGCAGTATGCCCGCTCAGTCCAGTGCCAGCTCTTCTCGCAATGTATCAGCCAGTTCATACAGCGATATGCCGGGTAAGCAATATAACTGAACTGAAGGAGGAGCATATCGATAAAGTAGTTCCAACTGCAAAATCATCTAAAATTCATTGTGCTGTTTCTTCCTTTTAATAATATTGTGCGTGTTTCTTTTAAGTGAATGTCCAGGTTATTAATCAGACAAAGCTTTTTGTGTTTTTTGGCAGGAGGCTTCATGTTTGAGGGCATGTCAGATGATGAGGATGAATTCCAGTCTGTAAGTCAATACAAAACTGCAAAGATCATGTATAGAAACACTGATGCCGTGTGATGTTTAATGTTGTTAATAGCCATAACGTCACTTGGTGTGCCTAAATATGTGTGACAGAGTAGCCCAGCAGGCCCCTCTAACAGAGGCGGAGTCTCTGCAGGAATGCGTCCAGTGTCCCTGAGCCATAGTGGAGCAACAGGACCGAGACCTATTACACAGAGTGAGCTGGCAACTGCACTGGCCCTTGCTAGCACTCCTGATAGCAGCGCTGTCACTCCGACAACGGCAAGCCAAGTGAGGGTTATTTCCATTTTGCGATAGATATTCAAAAACATGCTTAAATCTTTAAAATAGTACATTTATGCAAAATTTACTTAAGATTATAATGTTACACATTAAAAAAAATTACAAAAGCATTATTCCTAACACTCATTGCTTGCTTTTATTTCTCATCCTGTCTTTGATTAAGTCGGACCCCTCCAGTGGCATAGCCCCCATGCCAGCAGGGACACCAGTCAGTAACGATCTTTTCAGCCAAGCACTACAGCAAGCTCTGCAAGCCACCAACATGTCTGCTCTGCAGGTGAACTAACTGAATAAATCCCACATGTGTTCAGTTTATGGAGAAAATAATAATATAACTGCCATTTTCCTCAATGGGTATTGGCTTAGGTATGTAGTGCAGCTGCAAGCTTGTTTAGACAGGGCTATGTGTGGATAAAAGATTAGGCCTTGAACATGTTTTTGTTTTGCTAGGGCCGCTGGCAGTCCCAGATGCAGCAGCTCAGAGATATGGGGATTCAGGATGAGGAGCTGATGCTGAGGGCGCTACAGGCCACAGATGGTGACATCCAGGCTGCCCTCGAGCTCATATTTGCCGGAGGCCAAGGACTCTGAGCCCGTACCCCACGGACAGCCTTTTATAGATAAGAGAGCTTAAAAAAGCTGGTCACCCTGCTGCCCAGAAACAATAGAGCAAATTATGAGTGACAGTGTAAGGATTTCTTAACGTTTCCCAATAAAGAACAGAAGCAATTCAGCTCATCTCCACAGGCCATTTTGTTTCTTATTGATGAGACAAATCTTCTAATAAACTTGTTCATAATTACCATTCAAGCATTGTCCATGCCAGATTTATAGTTTGTTTGCAGTATTAAAACCTTAAAGAATACAACTCAAAGTTCATTTAAAAAGGTATTGGCTATATTTTCTTTACTACCATATATACCATCATTAATAGAATTAATTGACTCGTCAGGTTTAAATGTTGATTTAATTTTGTAATGACTAAAATTAACAATTTTTTATTTGGTTTCTTTTCTGCCTAATGACTTGAAGGTATGCACAGGCATATGGCCCATTGTAGATTTTTAACATTTCCCACACCTCTATAAAAGATCAGTTTTCAAGTTGTTGTTTCATATAAATGTGTTAAATAAAATCTTCTTTTATTTCAGCTCCAGAAGTTCCATTTAATGCACGTAACACTTATTCTGTATTTACATTATCCTGCCTGCATATGCAATTCCCCTTTGTGTACACTAGATGGCAATGCAGTAGTTTAGTACTGTGGAGAGTTGCCTGATTATCATCTTAGCACACTTGCTGCCCTTTACCCCCCCTATTAATTTAAAGTCTTGGGTTTGATCAGTTTTTTGCTGAACATTTCTTGGTAAATGGTTTGTGTTTGAAGTTGTGTGCCTTCATTTCCTTCAAAGGAGCACAATGCGCCTAGACAGACATCAGCATAAAAGAAAAAGTTGCACAGATAAGGTGAAAGCTTTATTAGCATTCTCTGATATTCCTGTGCTTGTTGGAGAATTGTTACATTAGTTAAGCCCCCTTTCCCCCCCAGCATTATTACAGACGGATACATTTGCTTTGTTTTGTTGTCTCCCGTTGGGGTATTCAAGGGGAGGACATATTGTTAACCCCCCCCCCTAAACACGCACACACATACACCCTTCCACCCCCTCTTCTTCTGCTACCTACCGTTCTCCATCTACAGTAATTGCCCTGCTTAGTTTTATTACGGCATCTGTGAATGTGACAGCTCAATCAGTGGATTGGCCTTTCATGAGCACAGCACCCAAACAGCGCTTTGTGTCTGTCTGTCCCCATTACCATTTTATATGCACGCACACCTGCGGGCAATTTCCACCTCCAACTGCCTCCAAGGGTATTTTAAAAATAAAGCATTTCTATTGTGCTGAAGGAAACTGTGTCACAGGTTCAAAAGAACAATGGTGAATAAAAGTGCCATTGCCTTTCTTGCATATTAAAAAGGAGACCGTTTCAGTCTTTCAGAAAGAATTGTTTAATTTGAAGCCAACAGAGTAGATGTGGCTTATTGGTGCTTGCTTTAGCTGCAGAATAAATTCAGTTCATATTATATATACTGGTGTTTTGAATGCATACTACTGTATCTAAAGCACAGCTTCCATACTATTCTGAACAGTTTACTGTGGCAAATGGCACTATGAGAAGTTGTCATGGAGATGCTCGATGGTGTGCGAAATGCTGCCACACATACAGTATGGAAAACATGTTATTACACACCATATTTAAGTCCCTTTTGTTGGCAGCTGTAGTATTGACTGTGTAATCCCTGAAATTATAAAACACTATAGAAACTGTTGGTACCTGTCGACTCTGTTTTCACCTTTCCATCTATCTATATATCTCTATATATCTCTCTCTATATATATCTCTATATCTATCTATATCTATATATATATCTATATCTATATATATATCTATATCTATATATATATCTATATCTATATATATATCTATATCTCTATATATCTCTCTCTATATATATCTCTATAGATATCTATATATATATCTATATCTATATATATATATAGATATAGTAGGGGTGCAACAATACACAAAATTCACGGTTCGGTTCGATATTTTTTTGATACAAAAAAAAATGTTCATGCCTTTTTAATTTGTCATTTATTAAATTTTCACGGCACATTCCGCCCCACATCTCTGTGCGTTCATCATTTGTTTGAAGCCAGCTCACCTCCTGCAACTACTTTTCCGAGAATACGTGCTTCTTTTGTGGTTCGGACTCCTGACATTTCTTTGGAGGTGGAGGAACATCACAGTAATTGCTTAAAGGAGCTTGCTTCTTCGACATCTTTAAGAGTTCTAAACAAATGTCTGTCCTCCTCCTGAAAATCTTATGTACGCAAACACGCATTGCAACTTCTGATCTTGTGCCCGTTTTTTATTTTGACAGCGAATGCGCACCTGCGGACCACTTATGTGCAGCCCTGGTTATTTCGCTTGTCATATTGCAGCCACAGAAATTCTTTTGTCCATGAAACCATAAAGCTGCACTTTCTTTTTGCCTTATCGTCTGATTTGTCATAACTTTTCCGTTTTGTGGTAAGCTTTTCTTTGGCTGTCACTTCTTCACCCCGACCTGTCTTATTTGGCTCAGCAGAATTAAAATATTGTGGCGAGCTCAGACAAGGAGGAGACGAAGGTGTCGTTTGGTCTTGCTTCCCGTGAGCTAGCCAGGGAGCACAGCCGTTTATTGACATCTGCAGAAGAACACTGCCGCTAGCTAACTGCTCAGCGCGGCAACAGCACAGCAACAACAACAACAACAACACACAGGGCTCCCTCTGACCCCGGAAGGACACACCGTCGCAGCGAGAGGGCGTCACCCGTCACTATAGCAACATAAACAAAACATAACTGTACAAACAGAACCGCGAACAGCCCTGACCCGCTACATAGCCCCCACCTAAGGGGTCAGTCGTCCCCGACGACCCCATTACCCCACACAAAGTCCTGCAAATGTCCAGGTGCCTTCTTTTGGCGCACCGGCTGGTCACGACCGGCGGGGGAAAAAACACTCGGGTCAGAACAACATGGGGTGCCACCATCATCCCACTTCTGACACCAATGTGGCGAGTTCAGACAAGGAGGAGACGGAGGTGTCGTTTGGTCTTGCTTCCCGTGAGCTAGCCAGGGAGAACACTACCGCTAGCTAACTGCTCAGCGAGGCAACAGCATAGCAACAACAACAACAACACAGAGGGCGCCCTCTGACCCCGGAAGGGCACACCGTCGCAGCGAGAGGGTGTCACCCGTCACTATAGCAACATAAACAAAACATAACTGTACAAACAGAACCCCGAACAGCCCTGACCCGCTACAATATATATCCTGCTGCTTTTACACACGCACTCACATAACGCTCAGCGATTCTCTGCGCGATCAACCTCTCACATGTTTAAGCTTGCTGCGGGAGATTTCACTTGTCATGTTTGCATAGTAAGCTAACGATTGATAAGACAACGTCAGAGGAATTGGTGCGCAAATTATCATCACTCACAGATCAGTGCTGTCGCTCTCTATACACAGTTCGCACGATTGCAAAGTGAAAGCAAAAAACAAGAGCAAATTCAAACGCGATTTCAATATGTCACATATTGACAGTGGCTCACCGATGCCAATGACATAATTACCCAGCTACATTTCTGAAAGAATGCAAAAGCATTGACATATATTTTTCCTTCCTACGGCTAGCGACTTTGCGAGCCCTGTATCTGATTGAGGAATCACTCATCTTTGGAAAAGAGAGTTTATTACAGAGAAATGTCTCTTTCCAAAATAAAAGCTATATTATCCGCTTCTTCTGGGCTATATTCTCAGCAGCATATTAAACATATCAGGTCCCCATAAGAAGAATCATGTGCTAACGGCTGTCTAAATGACTGGGGTAAAGTTTGTAGCATGCGTGCTTGTTGTTTTTTTTCTGCTTCCACTTGTCTTTGCACTAGGATGATGTCGGTGTAAATGTGCAGTCATATTTGTTGTGTTCCCACTCGTTGACATGACGTTAACGCCACAACACGGCAAATCTCCGTTAACGAGCTACCGAAGATCACCTGTGCATGGGGCTGGACAGCCAACACCTTAACGAGCTAACTGCGCTAACACACTAGCTCCCACCCATGTAATTGAGCATTGCGTGGCACATCCAACATACTGTTTTACTTTAGTCCATGACGCGCTTACCTTCAGGGTCATATGTCACATGAAAACCAAAATAGTTCCAAACGCCAGATCTGAATGAGGGTGGGGGAGGTTCAATTTGCCATGTTGGAAGGAGAGCTTAACTTCTGTCTCGCTAGCTTGCCCTGCGCTCAGTGAATCTGCGTTCGACTACTCCGCTTAGGCTGCACTGTCGAGCGCAGATCCACTGAGCGCTCAACACAGACAGCATCGTCAGGAGGAAAGTTGATAAAATAAATTATATATATACATACAAATACATATATATACACATATACATATATACATATACATATATATATATACATATACATATACACATATACATATATACATATACACACATATATACATATACATATATACATATACACACATATATACATATACATATATACATATACATATATACATATACATATATATATACAGATATTTTTAAGACATGGACCAGAAATGGCTTAAACAGTTGGAAAAGGGTCCTTTTTAATGAATCAGGCCCTGAGCTTTGAAGCTGGCACAAATCTGCCCAATTATTCCCACAGTGACCTGGGATTCAGGTAATGAGCAAGGTTCTGGAGCGTGTCATTAAGGGCAATATATTAGGCCAATAGAAATCATCAATATCAGGCCTTTTGAAATGGTGTAAAAGCTTGTCTAATCAAGCAGCTTCACAGACAAGCAGAACATTACCAACACTATTCTCTAGATGAAATCCTCTGACGTGCTGTTGCAGGAGGATGGGATAGGGCTGGTATAATGGCTTCCATGCACTTTTGTTTTTCTGAAAGGAGGCAACTCACATGTTATTAACATAAGGTCTGTTACCTGAGATTGCTTTCTGCCCATCGTGACTGAGCAGAATATGAAATGAGCTTCTGATAGACACGAGGCCATTTTATCCCCTTGTGGCCCATTCATCGCTTCCAAGCCATGCTTTTATTCGTTAGCCTTCTTTTGCGGCACACTTTTTGCCCACAAAAGGTTCTTTGATGCATTTCATCCAGGGTGCTTTAACCCTTTACGGAGCTTCTCTTAAGGAGAACAGAATTGAAGCAAAGAGAAGGGTAAATATTCTAGAAAAACTTCTGAGGGGAGTTTCTGAGGGTACAAAGCTTTCTCCAACAATCCAAAGACACGCATTTCAGTTTAACTGGTGATTCTAAATTGGCTTTAGGCGTGGATGTGAGAGTGTGAGATTGTCTGTCTCTCTGTGTTAGCTCTGTGATGGACTGGCAACCTGTTGAGGGTTTTCCCCATCTCTCTCTGTGGCAGCTGGGATAAGCTCCAGTTCCCTTCATGAACCTAAGCTGCGTAAGTGGTTAAAAAAAACTGAAAATGCAAAGTTCTGTTTTAATTGTCTCTTTTTGACCGAGGTTGTAAGTCAGATTAATTTGTGTTGGGTATGAGAAAATGAAGGAAAATGTAAACCGACAATGTTCACTGTCATTTTTTATTTTATAGTTCTGCTAAGAAATTGCTGAAAAAAAAGAAAATACACAGAACAATTTGATTTAAACTAACCTAAAGTTGTGGCTTTTGCATAGTTCACCGTTCCAATTACCTTCAACAGCTGGACTCAGTATATGATAGTGCCATGGTGAACTGTCTGGTTGAAAAGTAAAGAACTAACAGAAAACAGTGCAGCTTTTATCCATTTACAGGAAGTACATTTTTTAGAAAAGTTAAAAAACAAACAAACAAAAAACTTGTCACATTAAACAAATTAACGGCACTGATTTTTTTTCTTCTTTCTAGCAGTTGTTTCAGAAACCTTTACAGACCTATGAATAAAACCATCACCAGGGAAAATTAACAGTTGGCCAAGAAATGGCTGCTCAATCTGTCACTTGAGGTTTTTTCCAAATGCTAAAAAAATAAATCATGTATTATTCACACTCTGTAAAATCTAGGATGGATGAGTACACCTTACATATAATTCTGATGTACAATAAAGGCCGAAAGATGTGATTAAAGGGAACCGGGAAACTAAATGTAGGAAACGCTGCCAATTAAACTTCAAAGGCAAGTCAAGATAATTGTACTGGAATGAAGAACAGAGTGAAAAATATATTACGAGACTGCAACAAAGTGGATCAATAAAGAACAACAAGGGTTTGCAGTACTGGCTTGATAATAGCTTCAGCATTCTGTCCTTGACTCAAACAATGGTCGCTCTTCACTGTTTATTGAAGGGCCTCACCATGGTAACTGGTCATGGCTGAGATTCTGAAAAGGGTCTTTTTCCCCCGCTTCTTTTACCAAATAATTACGAGTTTGCTTTATTGATCTGAGTCAGTGTAAAACAGGGACTGTCAAATCAAACCCAACTTTATTTTTGAAATGTATTTATTTTGTATTTATTTTGAACCTTGATGCCTCTATGTCCCCATACAATACATTCAATATATACATTTGGCCATGAGGGACTGTACAGAGATATGTTGAAGTAGTGCATACATACATGGCACGAAAATGTACACAAAGAAAACTCAAAGTTTCCACTTTACCACAGTCAAGTCTCAGGGCAAGTCTGTGGCTGATGGCTGCTTACACCAGTGCACACACATGCGCGCGCACACACACTCACTCATTCAACAAACACTGCTTCAAGCATGCACATTGTGTGTGTACGTACACCAACACACACAAGCTTTAAGACACTTCCGAGGGAGGAGAAGGGTTCTTTCAGGTTCTCATAAATAGATACACAAACGTAAAGAGAGCGTCTGCTGACTGCATCACCCTTTTTTCAAGAACACCCTCTCCTCTGTCTCCTTTATTCTTCTTCTACATCTTTCCATCTTCTTACTCTCCAAAGCTAAGGCCTCTCTCTAGACAGTGCTGCCATCATACGCAGGATCTTTCCTATAGTAGGGTAACACTCATCAGCAGCAGTAACTTAATAAAGAGCTACTTTCAACATTTGATCTCTTAAGTAGTGAACATTCGCAACATAAAGAATTCAACACACACACGGTTAATTTTAAATTTGCATTTCCTATTTGGATATCTTCTCTCGAGAAGCACATAGGTCCACTTCAACAATGCACTATTCCTCGATAAAGCTGCAGTGCCATGATAAGACACCCTCATGCGATAACAGCACCTGTCTCTTCACTTAATGCACCAGCAAAATATACCTCTAAATACATACCACATTCTGCAGTTTATTTTTTACTAATGCCACTCTAGTGATTAAATTTCTTCCTGGCAGACATCTTGTACCATCACATTTGTCATTAACATTTGTAGGAGGCACACACCTGACATTTTCCCTTCAATGACTGTAGTTTATAGTTGCATAGCACACAGCAGAGATAGTATTAAAGCCAAAAGTTAATTTGGCTTTATACAGAGTGGTCATGCTCACATAAGTCAGTTTCTAACTCTTAGTGTCTGTAACTTTTAGGTAGGACTAAAGCCTCTCCCCCCCCAACTTTTTTTTCTAATTGCTCATTAAACCAATGGGTTTTTCAGCTCATAAAAAGTGTTAAAGTTCACCAATGAAGAAGAAGTTTGGTCACACATGCATCAGGCAGCCTTATTAAAATCACTTCGCGGTGCGACTACTGTTGGAAAACCGGCTTCTTCGGCTTATAATTTGCCAGTAACATTAGAAGCAAGCATGTCATTACTTTGAGTTGTTAAAATCCAATCAGCTTAATGAAAGAATACAGGAAGAAAGGGGGTAAAAACAACAACAAACAAATAAAAAAAAAAGAAAAAAGTCAGCCATAGGTGGGGGGGTAGAGGTGACAATCTAAGAGGTTTGAGCTGTACCTGTCACCAGGGGCCAGCGGGGTTAAAAAAATAATAATAAGAAGAAAACGACTGCAATTCTGAGTGTGTGCACACATTCTCATGTGCATACAAATACTGCAAACACAGACCTGTTGGACACATGCATACTCACGCTTACACCTAGTATAGACATCTGGAGATTTTAATGAAAAGTGGAAGCATGACAGGTTGAAGGTAGGTGATTATCCGGTTTGGACACGCTGGACTGTAATCGATGTGTGTGCGGACGGGTACGCAATCGTCTCTCACACGAGGTTTGACAATCCTGTCGGACAGGAGACGCGGTGACTTGTGTCCCAGAGTGAGGCCACCGAGGCAAACTTGCACTTAGCAGAACTGGAAACAACAAAAATGCTGAAGCACCACAGCAAAAGAGGCTGGAGTAGTCCCATAAAACACGATCACGTTGGCACAGAACGATGAGGGTAGGGGTGGGGGGGAACGGGCCAATCACAAAGGAGTAACACATCAGTAATAATCACCCCAGAATAAATTACAGTCACAGAACAATTGTTAAAAGCAGAATTAGAAATCGACTGATCTAAGCGGACTGATTTGACCCATGCATTTTATAAGGCATTAACCAAACATTTCTTACGTTGCACAGTATTATAATAGTCACTATACATACAGTTGCTGATCTGAAAAAACAAAAAACTGCTTGTGTTTTCATTAAACGAATCTCAGATTAATTGTATTAAAAAAAAAAAAAAAAAAAGCATATTCCTAAAACTAATGATGCATTCTTTAAGGGAATTGGGAATGTCGAAGAGAGAGCAGATCAATGTCTGCAATCCCATTGTACCTATTGATCTGCACATGGGCGAATGAAATTGATTTTCTGAGGTAGACAATACAAGCATATTTCATTCTCCCGATGCAAAGCCATTCTAAGCAGGGGTAGTGGGGATAATTTGGTCCATTTGGACAGGCTCTGGTCTTTAGCCTCAGCCAAATGTACTGTGTCAGATGGGTTGACCCATCCATCATGCTCTCCTGCCTGTCTCAACACCACGGTACTTACATTGTCACTGGTGTGATACACCCACTCAATGATGGATAGCAGACAACATGCACTATGACAAGATGGAGAGATCAGTCTGCACAGCTCACAGGCTTGTTGTTTCCACGCAGCTGGGGACGCTCCATTCATACACAGCCAGTTTATTTAATATCCCGGCCACTGTATGAGGCACACGTGGACAATATCGTTCGACATGCATCATAAATGTTGCTTCCCTTACAGAGGTCTTATAATCTTCAAATCCCCTTTGCAATATGATTACAGTAGCAACAGAGCCTAACCGAATGAGACACTCAAACAAACATTTCAAATATAATCGTCATTTTGTGTACTCACAGGGTACAACAGTTTATGCTAAAAGGCAAATCCCAGTGACAAACGTTAAGTTGTACCTTTCTTTTTCTTTACGTCTTAAGTGCTATGGGTAATCAGCTCAACAGTCAGTGAAATGATGTTCTGTAGATAGTCAGTCTGATCTACTAAGCAGATGTCTATCATAAATAAAATAACATAACATAACATAAAATAAAATAATAAAAAACTTCTGCAAATCTGAGTCTGTATGTATGAGATAGTAAGCAGAGGGCCTTCAAACAGGTCTGGAATCTGTTGGCCAGTGAGGTGAGTCAAGATCAGCAGTTTAGGATGCCACTGTTCATCTTCCCGTGAGCCTAGTGGGCTCTTTCCAGAGGGACAGGAAACAGCGAGCCACAGGTTGGCCCAAAGTACTGCAAAGCAGATGCCTGCAAGAGACCTGGAGCACTATAGTGTCCTGATGGCTACAGGGTAGAGCAGGGACATATGTTCAGCACCTTTGATGGGCAGCTTGCGGCTGGAGTAGAAATGGATGATCTCAGGCACGCTGTCGAAAGGGCAGCTGTTCTGGCCCAGGATGTACTTGTTCTCCTTGGTCCGTGACAGCTTCATGTGCATGAAGCCCTGGCTACTCCTGGAGACAGAGGAAGACAGAAAAAGCTCAAAACAAAATTCTGATCTTTACAAGACAAAACCAGATTATTTTTATCATGCTCTGACACAAAAAAATCTTTGAAAAAAATAATTTGTTTTGTCCCCACTTCCTATATTTCAGGAGCAAAGAGGCCTTTCCTTGCTTCAGGCTCTGTCCTTTCACCCAAAAAGGAATTTGATGACAGTTCATTCAGCTGACGTAAAGACATTTCACTCAAAACCGTCGAAAACAGTCGAGCCAATTTGTAGAGGTTCTAAATACTGTAGTTGGGAGATATCAGTATGGATCAAAGCAACGTATTGACCGATTAGCGAGCAGACTGATATTGCCACACCACAAGCATGCCTTAAAAAACACTAACAAGAGACAACAAGTATGTCAAAAGCATCAATCTATGGGAGTCCCAACAGATATCCTCTTTTGTCAGCTTCCCCTCATTTACTTCTCCAGTAGTTGTTCCCCACAGTATGTGACAGCGCTCTGAAAGCTGGATTACCTCTGATAACTTTGGAGGTGTCAGGGGAGGGGACTAAAAGGCAGGTTGCTTAAGGTGCTGGGTTTCACATGCAGTGCATAAGGATGAGGCTAATGAACCCCCAGGATAAATCACTCAAGCTGCAGCAATAAATGCACAGCAAATTAAAAGCTCCCCGCGTGTTCCAAGGAGCCTTCGATCAATACATTTTACAGCTTGCCAGTAATCTTCTGCTTTAAAATAGAAAATTACTTCTTTTTTTTTCCACTTGGGAAGAGATGCAACAGTAAGCTTTAGCGAGTAAGTGACACAAAACTAATGTTCACTGTAGCATGTTTTGTAAATATTCTCTTTTAGTAATTTGACTTTACAGACTAAATTAGCATAACAGCTTTTTCAATCAGCAGCTAATACCTCCAGCAGGTTATGATTGCTTTAGGCACAGTTCATTGACATTATAACCTGTCCTCAAAAATAAAGTGCACCAGCACCTGCCTAACATTTATTTTTTGGAAAATAAACTCTCGTGCAAAAGGTAAGAGGGGATAATATGTTAACCACATGTAGTAATAAAACTCCTATTTTTCACTAACCTAAGGATAACAGCTGTAAAGGTATTTACTTATGAGGCCAGTCAGTATAATCTACACTATTCCATTCTGTGCTTCAAAGTTTATACCGAGCAGGGCTCTTGTGAAAACTGTGAAAATGCACTAACCACAACAGACAGGAGCAGTGGGCTGTCAAGGCTGTTGATGAGGCTGCCACATGAAGCAACTACAGCAAATAAATTTATGTTTTTCCACAGTAAATATATGCATATTTTTGTAGTTATGCCCATTATCTTTGATGAACAGGAGTGACAACTTGGCTTTAGGCACCTGAAGCATCAGGCCGTTCTTTACTTATCTCCTAATTGCATGTATGATGCCGGTGGATATGTTCTCTCTCTGATGCACAGAGAAAACCCAGAACAAAGATAGCAATAAGATGAAAGGAAAAACAAAAAAACCAACAACAAAATACATATACACATATACATACATATATACATATAAATACATACACATATATACATATACACACACAGGTTCAATTTAGGGACACTGATCAGGAATAAAGCACAGATTTTTCTTTATTTTAACAGATAAAGAAGTGCGTGTTTTGGGGTTAGCATGATTGAGATTATTACTATAAATATCCAAAATATTTCAAAGCTAGTTCGGAGCTTTTTATGTGTAAGAACTGAAACAAAAAGCTGCAGGATTTCTAAGCCATTAAACTGAAATACACACGAGTGCCACCTCTCCATTATTGTGCAGATTTCCAAATCTCCGTTGCCACGGGTCTCTAAAATGCTATGATTCTGCAAATGGTGCTTTCAGAGCTCATTTACAAAAAAAAAAAAAAAAAATCTTTCCTGCAAAGTGCATTTGATGAATCTTCACATGGAGCGCTGGGAGAACGGTGTTAGGTTACACAGAGGCACACTTAAAAAGGCAAACACATCAATAGCATCATTTTTAGATTCCCAGCTGATTTTCCATTTGGTGCTCAAAGCTGCTTATTATGTTACAGTCCTGCAGAGACAGAAACCAGGACAACAGAGCAACACGGTAGTGTTGCTGATAAAATAAAATGAATACGGGGCTATTTTTGAAAAGACAGGCCTTTGTGGTGTTATCATAACACTGCGTTCGTGAACTTATATTTGTCTAATCAGGATTAATCTGACTGGGGAGGTGTGCTGTCTTGTTTATTGAGGTTTATGACTTTGATTTAAACCGAGTACCACTCAGAGCAGGAACAGCCTGACAGCAATCACAGCTTATCTTCTCCTTCCATATATTGGATGGCTTCATGATTGATACTCTCTGTGTTATGAATCTAAGGCAGCAGAAAAAGCAAAGTCATATGCCAACAAGATAGTGAACCATAGCAAAAGGGCTGACCTCTTTAAGCCTTTCTGGGCATCGGATGTCGTATGTACTCATGATTTTATATTAGCATACACTAAACCTCCCTGGGATGATACCATTCTGTACGTTATCGACGCTAAGGTAAGTGGGTGAAGTGGCAGACAACTAAACATACAAACAACTCTTGGCATGGTTTTGTTCTTTGGCTGAGAAAGGTCAGGCTAATTTTTGTGCTCCATGCAGTCATTCGTCTATTATGTGTCATAATATGAAGCTGACATTTTGCATCTAAAAATGTTCAAAAATAGTGTCTTTGGAGGTGTTCCAGCGATAGAACACACCAGTAAGTTGCTAACTTACCCCATTTACCCCACTGGCATCAAACAGTCTTTGGGATACATTTCCCCTCCTCAACCAGTGGAAACAGGCTCTGCAGAGCTCTCTCGTGACGTGAAAAATGAAATGACACTGTGCTTTGAAAGCCCTGTGAAGGCTTTAATACAACTCAAATACCAAAAAAAAAGGTTCTCTCCACTGAGAGTAAAGAAGAGGAGCAGGTGGGGACAGGTGAACATAAAAAGGGGTTTAGGAGGGAAAAGCAGACAAAAATGCTTTCCGTAAGGCCAGAGGACTCTTGAGGCAGGAGGTCTCAGTGACGTCTGTCTTTATCAATAATGCAATACACATATGTGGCACCTCGCGGCCTCATACATTTTTCAGTAACCTCAGACATGTCGGATCTTCACCTTGGGTTTCCACTCATTTTCTGTGGCAGCAGGGGAGACGGGCTTGAGTGAGGAGGCTGAACTCATATTTGTAGGGACATGCCATTTCCACAAATGAGCATGACGATCGTTTTCTAGGTTTCAGCTGGTTTACATCAAGAGCACAAGATTCTATAACCCAAATGTGCTGACACACAGTTACACAGAAATTATGAACAATCTGCTGTTATTTAAGTCTATCAATACAAAAATAAGAAGGTTAAACTCCTAAGATGTTTGGTTGCTTACAACTTTAAGATCTCATATGGTTAAAGTGAGCTCCCGCAACAGGGTGTGGAATAACAGGGGGAAACCACTGATTTCCAGTGCTATTGGCAGACCACAGCTATTCCCAGGCAACATTAAACCTCATTCTACTTAAGATTCCAAAAAACCTTGAAAGTAGGCCCTGGAGCGAAACGCTCTAACAGACAGTGAAAAGGTATTCCTAAAGTGCTCGAGACACTTTATTCTATAGTTCTCACTAAGTCGAGACGAGTAAATAATTCTGCATCAACACTAATGACCTCATCGGCATGGCCTTTGTCCTCTCCTTGTTTTCAGACTGACAAACAGCTATTAAATGTGTCACAGAAGCCAGTCAACATTTTATCTCTTAAAAGAGTAACCATCAGAAAAGCGCAGTAACAGGGGAGCAGAAGGATCCGACCTCACGAAAACACTTTCCAAACTGTTCTCTGATAGTACAGGCCATTATTATAAAGGTCCATCTGAACATCCTTTAAATGTGGATTAGTGGAATGAGACCATTACTGAACTAGAAGGTTAAAACATGTTTTAACCTCTCATCACTAAATACAACTTTACTGACCATTGCTCTTATCGTGGCCTGGCTGTGTTCAGTATAGAATAAAAAAAGCTAAATAAGTTTCATGGCTCCAGGCCTTCCTCACTCCCCCGCCTCCCTTCTCCCTCACTCAGATAATCTAACAATCAGCTATTTCATTACTGGAGGTAACCCCAATGGCATTAGACGGCCAGTCTCTTTTTAAACATACGAGAGAGATGGATGGATTAATACTCTCAAGCCTGGCACAAATTATACACTACATTTTCATATTTCAAAATGGGGCTTTTGCTTATTAGAGAGGCTTTCGTCAAACTCGCTGTCTTCATCATTACTCTGCATATCATCATCCCGCAGCAAAAATATTCACTTGTTATCTTTACCATTTTGTTAAAAAAAAAAAAAAAAAAGCAGACTTTTTACTTTTCTAGATCACATATTCAGGTTTGCACTTTACACACATCAATATGTGTCTTTTGAGTGCTAAACAAGTTATTTTTGTTGCTTAAACTGACATTATTACATATTCCTAACTCCAAGGAAAATTATTTTGGTTTTACTTTCCCAGTAACTTCATATTAGACTGTTTTGTGTGCCAGTCTTCTACAATGACTATGCAATAAAACATCTGTGCATTAACTGTTAACATGTCTGTTTGTCTTTTTATAGTGCTTAGCTTTAAGCATGCATTTACGACACAATGCATTTAATTCAAAATGACAACATTTGGGACAATTGTTACATATTCAGACAAATATTTTTCTCCTGCTGTTTGCAGTCATCCAAAAGCCAGTGTACTAAGTCAGCATCCTAACAGTGCGTCTTCTTTTCAGTCAGCAAGGCAGAACAAGAAGCAGTCATACAGATGATCAGCCAATGAGACAGGGAGTTACACAGGCAGTCGACTACGGTACTTGTCAAGAGAATTGGAGCAGCAGCAAGCAGAATTATTATCTTTGTCTTCCAAGTTATATAAGCCTCCAGCAGGCTGACTCCACTCAAAGAACAAAGGCTAATCAATGTGTCTCTACATACTACAGTTTTATTTCATCTGATGGCTCCCACATAGTTGCAGAGATTTTTCTAAATGTCATGGGACTGAACCTTGCCTGCAATGGTTAATGGAGCATATATAAAGTCAGTTTGACAAGACTATTTGGTAACAGATATCGAAGCCGGTTAAACACTGTTGGTTTTGGAAGACTTTCAGGCCGTTTCATATTTCTGATTATGTTTCCGACGCCGTAGCCGTGACACCTGGTAGCAACGATCGTCAAAACAAATCCAGCAAAACTCCACATTCCTATCAAAGCGATGGGACTGCACTGTAGGACTTCAGGCTAAAGTAACCTCTTCCAACTGTCAGGCTACACGTAACATTTCAGAGTAGCTTTTTTTGAACCCTCTGCTGGACGCGGCGGGGATCAGGAGGTCAACGATGAAAGTGCACCATTAGCCAAGTTGCGGGTACATCAGCAATTCGAGGAGCAGATTCTGTCAGAGGGGTTACTGAGCGGAGGTGGAGGACGAGCCACGGGCAAGGTGTACAGCAGGTGGGGGATAGAGGTCTGAAGGGTGAAAGCTATTACCATACAGAAATGGAAGAGTCAGCAGGTATGTCCGCACCTCGACAGGGAATGATGTTACACTAGTCCACTGTGTGTACTCTGCCATTAAGTAAGTGTAGCTACTATGATAGGTCACACTGTTTCGTGAGTGTGTGTTCCGTGTACAAATCACTGACACAAGTTGTCACAACAGGCAAAACGGCCCCGAGTATTTGGAATCACATTTTCACCAAGGCTGCCAACCGAAACTGTGCATCTGATTATACTGTTTGTGGATGGTCATTTAGGAGACGAGAGCAGAGTTCTTACTTGAGAGAGAGGGAGTAGTCGTTCTTGCTGGTCTCGCTGTTTCTCACAAGATAGCTGGCCTCCTTACAGAGCCTAAGCAGAGACTCTGCATCTGTTCGGCTGATGGCTCCATGGTACCAGCTACAGCAAACGACAGGAAACGAGGATGAGAAAGGAGGAGGAACAAAGGAATGTTAAGTAAGAAAGAGTCAAAGCTGCTAAAGAAAAACCAAGATTTGACTCACAACTGGCTTTCCAGCGGCATTGTGGGATCGATACGTTCCCCGAGAGAGGAGCTGCAGTGGTCCAGTGAAGTCATTTTGGTGTTGACCAGACAGCCACTGGAATGTCGCTGCAGCGGCCGAGTTTTCCCCTCCTTGGTGGGCGACATTCGAGACTTCTCCACACCATCAAACTGGACTGTAATAAGAGAAAATACAGCTGAAAAGATTTCATTCTGGACAGATTTGATGGTTCAAAATGGCTCTTAATAAAGACAAACACCTGTAAACACCATTGAGCTACACTTCAGATTAAGGTCACTTGGAAAAACAAATTGTGTTTACAAGTTACAACATCCACGGTGTCACATGTATCAATTAAACTCGACTACTGCAAAGTGTGAGAACCGAAATCCACGCTGTGCTTTTACCAACTTTCACACACGCGCACACACAGAGCCGCTCTGTTTAACTCATCCTACTGAAGGACATGTACACATGATGAAAGAGACATAAATCAATCTAGCTTGCCCGTGTACACATTCCAGTTAGGCAAAATACACACACACGCAACCTTCCTCCAAAACAAGCTCATGCGCCTGTAAATAATCCCATATATACTACTGTATGGCTGAGCATTTTCACTCTTTAAGTACACGCAAATGTGCACACACTTAAGTGCACGCCCAACTCCAACACCCAGGTTCTGCAAGTTAAACATTGAACTAGCTTTTCAAACTCTCACGGTCAACTGTGGACATGACAAGCTCTCTTGGCAGCCTCACAGGGAAGTGTTTGATGGTGTTTGGGGGCTTAAACTGACCTATGCGCACACATGAAATGCCAGGGGTCACGGGGCAACTTCACAGCCAATCAGCAAACAGAAGATAATGCTCTCAAGGACAAATTAAATGTGAATTTACACTTGTGGGAAAGAGTTGCACAAGCTAAAGGAATAAAAGGCTGGACAGTGGATGTAAGAGTAATTATCATGCGTCACAGGCAGCTGAGACATTTTTCCTCAGTAATCCATCACTGTGCTTCATGCCATAACATCTAAAGCTTCTGAAATCCCCCCCCCCCCAAAAAAAAACCAAAACAAAACAAACAAAAAAAAAAAACTATTTAAAGCTACTGACACGCTTCTCAAGCAATAACAGAGGGGCGGCTTCCTACATCAACCGTATGACAAGCTTTTCCTGGTTATTGTCGCCTGCTTCTATATGGCTCAAGACCAACAGATAGCCGTTTTTGTTTTTTTGATGGAAGTGGTTAATGTCGTATGAAACTCGCATCTACTAGGCAACATCAATCTTTGCTGCTCTCTGTCACTAATGGCCATCCTTGCATCTAGTGTTTAATTACCAGGCAGAACATGGCAGACACTATACACAGAGACAGGCAGTGTGATCTTAACAACACGTCTACATCTGTCTAGACTCTGCATTCCAGTCAGAGGATAGCATTACACTTTACAGATTGTGAGCTTGCCAAGTGCCTCTGTATCACACTGAGTGGAAGGGCTGACAGTTTAAATCAATTCAACACTACTTACTACAAGTAGTTTACTTGAGTATTTAGATGTTGTGCCACTTTATTGCTCACCTCTATGACATTTCAGCTACAACTGATACATGTGTTTCTATAGAGCCTGCTCTTTTTCAAGATATTTCATTTAAAAAAACCCAAAAAACCCCCCCACATGATCAGCTTATAAAATGCAATTAAATGATAAAGAGTGTTACCATTCAAAAAAAGCTGGTTAGTGGTTGCTGTCATGTGTAAAGTTATTCAATGTTTAATTACCAGCAATTAAAACAAGTATTTTAATTATAGTAATTAAAAGAAGTGCCACTTCCATTAACAGTGAACTACTGCTTATTAACTCAGGATATCGGAAGAAAAGCTTGTAATGAAGTATTTTTACAGTAGTGCAGTTGTAGTCCTTTAGGAATATCTTTTCTTTTTCGAATACTTTCTATGACATACCATGATGTCATCGCAAGCAGTGCTTTTTTTTGACAGATTACAGCTGTTTCAGGTCTGACCACTAGGGGCTCCCCTTAACCTCCACACTCTACTTGCGGTTGAACTCGTTGGCCTTTGGCTCAATGATGCGATTCCCCAAACATAAACTCGTGGAAATGATTATTTCAAATCATTCCGGCTGTTATCTTTGCCTCTGCACATTTGTTCATTAAAGGCCGACAGCGGGCTGGTAAAATGACAGCAAAATTGTACTGTTGCATGACAGCTGGGTAAATTCTAGGTCTCACCCTTGGAAGAATACAAGTTGCTGATCCATGTCCTTGAGGTCTGTCGCTCCTAATATAGTAATTCACATTATGATCCCGTGTTGTGTCTGCATTATTTTATATCATAGAGTCCATTTAAATTACATGCTGAATACTGGGAATTTGATCCAAGTCAGATGAATATATTGTATATGTGTAAAGGTGAGAAATGGCGTTTCCATGGAAACTGACCAAGGGGACATGGAAGATGCATGTTTGTTCCATTCAGCTCCTGTCAATGCTGACAGATCACAACATGAAGATGGAGCCAATTGCTCCCTGTCCTTTGCTTTCGATTTCTCTCTGTTTGCATGTGTCCAACCTTCTTCTGCCCTTTGCCTTCTCTTCTATCACTCTTGCCTCATCATTCTAACTCTGACTTTTTCCCCGAGCTCTCTTGCCACTCAGTGGTAGAAACAGATAGGGGAAAATGGACTGTGGAGGAATGTCTCCACAGGAAAAAAGGGGTGTTTTGATCTGTTATCTCTGATGGTCCCACTGCAGGGCAGACTGTCGCCAATTACACCTACTACTACAACAAAACCCTTAAACAGTCTACTTGCACTTCCATATTGAGAATTGACTGTGAACATAATATTATCATCTCTTCACTGATTAGTGACGCAACCATAAGAGGCTGGAAAAGGTATCAGACATCGTTAAGGATACAGGATGCAATCTTGGCTTTTCCCTACATAGTCCATATTGTATCTACAATCCACTCACCCATGTGCCTGACCTCAGCTCTTCACATTTCCCTCCTCTTACCCAGACACAACAATCAGTGATTTATTTGATCGTGATTAAACTGTTTTCTCCCCCCTCTCCGCTACCAAGAAAGGGTGGGTTGAGTGGCTATTCTTAGTGTAGCTCACCCCGTCAACCTTTCTTGTCAAAGTGGAGGCTTCACTGCAGGCAGAGTGCAGTGCTCTACAAGGAGAGTATTACCCTGAAGAAAGAGCCCCCCAAACTAAACAAAAGCCATCATTTTTATTTGCTCAAGAGTGAATGGACTCATGTCTGCTTTGTTAGCTGGGCGCCTCACCATCACCATTCCGAAACTGATGTAGAGTTATGTTTTAAGGCAGAAAATCAGTGGGAGTGAGGCAAACCAATTCCCCTCTCTCATTCTCCAGAGCACACAGTTCGAAACATGGACGACAGGAGATTGACTAGAGGATTGGCCCACGGGGGAACAAAAGCCGTATGAGGAAGCTTAAGAGGGACGAGAGGGTGAAAACCTCCACACGCACGCACACACGGTAACACACTTCTCTTGAAATAAACACATAAAGGCACATGGGCAACTGTGTATGTTATCAGAATTGTTGCTTGTAAAGCACTGCAAATGGAATTTGTGTATCAGATTGAACTGTCAGTCAGATGGTGACAGATGGCTGAAAGACCTGTCCCCTTCAGACACACAGCTTCCTTTAGAGACAACTATATAAAAAAAAGAAAAGTAAATAACACGCACACACACACCCCACACACATAAGAGGATGGGGAAAGAGCTGATTGGCTAAGGCACAGATTAAAAAGAAATGGCAAAAGGACATTCCACGATTACAAACCACGAGATAAAGCACTGCTATGTAATATAGTGCTGCAGAGCAAGGCACAGGTCAGCACAGTACATAATAATGTCACTGTCTAACAACATAAAAAACACTCCAAAGTAGAAGTCACAGTAATCAAAATAAAAACGAAGGGAATCAAAAAATAAAAACCACAAAAGTGTAGTGACATCTGTCACTGAAGACTCAGCACAATTTAACTACTACTACTGTCTCCTCTTCCCCCTGTGCACAGATTTCTCTAATTAAGCAGGCTAATTAATTCTCATTTACTAATGATACTCCTATTACAAAGGATGACTAGTCTGAGGGGCAAAGTGTTTCATCGGCTGCTGCATTGTGAGGTGAAAATTAAGTTTTCCAGCTAGGACTTGTGAAATGATTAACAGGTTTCCAGCTTATTAGAATGCAGTGCACGCTAAAAATAGGGTTAAACTTTTACGCCGATATTAATTATATGCACCAGGAACTAAAATAATTGCTGCATGGCTTTTATAATACTATATTTTAGAGCCCCACTGTGGCCGTTTGAAGCTATAAGCTTTATCTCTGATGAGTCAACCATCTAGGAATACGCTCTCTTCTTTTAAATAAATTTCAAAAGGAAATTCCAAATTAGGTTTTCCAAGACAAAGGAGTGACCCTACCAAGTGTCAGCTGGGGAATTCATTTAAAATTAAAACTGGATACTTTTTAATTACTTTGGTTTCTTAGATTAAAAGAAAAATGAGGTAAGATAAATGCTTCAAAGTACATATAATTAATTCATGTTAAAAAAATTAAAAAGATAGGAATCTCTGTATCACATCCAGAAAAAAGTGTCTGGGCGTAAGGTGTAGATGTATTATTTGTTCTGCTGATCTGCATTTGAATTTTGGTAATGATGTTATATATCTAAGGACTAAACAAATGACCCTATCCAGCTTTCTAGTCTGGCTGACTCATGTAACAGATGACTAATGTCTTGATGTGTGACTGAATGTCTGCCTATATGCTGAGGTCAAGAGAGTACATTGCAACTGTATTCACAAGGGTTGTGGAGGCCATCAAGCCCCCTCCCCAAGTCTACCACTTGGACCTTTGACCCCTAAAGATGTAGACTAGGGCCATACCGGCTGAGACAGAGAGGGGATCACTTTACAGCTGGATGCCGATCTTAAACCCACTCACTTCACCGAAGGAACCAGAACCTTTCTCATGGATTTACGGGCATAAATCAACTCCTCGCCCTGTCCTCGCCTACAACACACATTGGTGTCCTCTTACATGGCCTCACTAAGTCTTTCCACTCTGTCAGGGGAAATCCCATTCCTGAAATTAGTTCTGCTACATGTCCTTCTTTTCTCTGGATAATGACAGCAGACAGAGGGCAAGTGTGTGAGAGAGCTACAAAAATAAACTAATGGCTCTCTCAGTTAAAAATAGGTCACTTACTTATCCACTGCATGCAATGAAAAAGGTAAATATGGCAATAAGTCAAGAACTGAATTCGTCTCCAATGAGTTTGATTTCCTAATTCGTGTGAGCCACTTGTAGAGAACAGCAGACCAGAGGGACATCTGGGATGGTTACGAGTATGTTGACAAGAGGAAATGGGGGTCACAGCGAATGGCAATTACGCATGCAGAAGGCAGTTCGGCACAATTAAAACTAATGAGGCTTCAGCCTAAAACCTGCAAAAGAGTTGGTGATTTTCTGCCACATGTATTCCAGATGGAAAAGAGCAGTCATTACAGAGCTAATACCTATAGTCAGATTTTTCAGTACTTCTCACATATGGTAACTCTTTCAGTACGTCTTCAGTGACCAGAAAATTTGGGACAAACATAATCATACATTGCAGTAGCAGACTAACCCTACCTATGTTTTGGTAGCTGCATATGCTTGGCTAGTAATGTTTTTTAAATGTTCAGTAGAACTAAAATACTGAGCTGTATGCTATGTAAAACACCATGCCTTCATTAATTAAAGACGGATGGATGGACGGACGGATGGACGGATGGACGGACGGATGGACGGATAGACGGATGGACGGATGAAAAAATGGACGGACAAACATGCCAACAGGGAATAGGAAGATGGACTGGAGTGCCAGGGTAACTGATGGAAAGGATGCTGGACAATGAACACCAACACCCACCATGGTGGTGCTGGTCACAGCTCGTCTGTCCTGGCGAGGGCTGAGCTGTCTGGGACGGAGACTCAAGCTCCTCCACTGGGGGAGGGCTGGTGTTGAGCTGGCCGACAGGAGGGGGCCATGGTAGGTCCTTGATCACTTTAATCTCTACTGCAAGTGTCACCAGAGGAGAGATGGAGGCAAGGAAACGATAGCAACAAGAATAATAAAGAAAGGAAGTGAGTTAGGAAAGGGAAGTAATGACAGAAAACAGAAGAAAAAGACAAAAGGTAAAAGGGGTAAGTGAAAAATACTGTGGATAAGAGCAGGAGAGTTGGTTTATACTGTGATCCAAAATTCAGCAGCAGCTGTGGGCTAGAAAAGGAAGGAATACAAGAGGACTGGAAAGGAAGGAACGTTAGTTCTAAAAGTAGGGCTGGATTTTATATCCGCTTCCACTCTGATGCAGAGCTGGATACTCAGATTGCTGAGAGGCCCTGAAGGTAACAAAAGGAATGTGAAAGTTTTCAATTATCAAATTCAATAATGCACTCAGATTCAGCCAATAACTACAGTCTCACCTTGGGAGAGATACACTAGATAGATGCAACAAGAAGTTCTTAAGGCCGAATTGTTCAAGCTCTAATGCATGATACAGTGCATAATATCCTTAAATAACATTCAGGCCCAAGTAATAATACTGTACTTTTAATGAGCAAACTATAAAATACAAACCTGCCTTAAGCCAAACTAGATGATCAGTGAAAACAGCACAGCTGCATACACTCTACTGTAACAGTTGGTGCTGTGTTTGATGACAAAGACCCCAGGCCTCTATATTAAGCCAAGTCAGAGTGTAGACAATATCTGTAGCTAAAAAGTACCTAAGAGTAATCCATGAAGGCAATGGACGCTACCCTGGCTTTGCCCCTTAAATAATGTATGCCTCATGCAGTTGGGGCTTTACCAGGATAATTGAGCACTCATGCAGCAGCACATCTGTTTCCAGCACAGGGCCACTTTTTAACCAGCCAAGGATAATTAATGAATGAGACAGAAAGGGGAATGTTTTTCTTCATACAAGAGAAAGCCAGTGATCGAGCCAAGGCTAATAAATAAATGCAATCCATGGGTAATAGCTTTGGTGAACGACTGCATGTTCCTCGGGTGGTTGTGTTATTTTTGCTTAGATTTTGCAGAGGTCTCAAAAGACATCTTTGTGCCATCAAAGCCACAGCGATTGAGCAAATTCTAAGGTCACTGTCCATGGTGCTGGAGATTTTATTCCAGTTACGAAAGTACTGTAAAAGAAAAGAATTTTAATGTGCAGCTACTTTTGGCACATAACTATTAACGGTTTCTTTTAAGGTCTTATAAGTTAAAAACAAAACCAAAAAACAAAACACGTCATCCTATTAAATACATGTCATCCTTCATTCTCTTATCTCCTTTATCAAAACCAAATGCATTCGATGAGTACGTTAAGTTTAAAGTACGGAACAACAATGGCAAGAAAGGCTCTCAGAACAAACCCCAAACATCCGAAACCCTCATTGTGACTGATATACAGCAAATATTCGGTCATCTGTCCAATAAAGGGAGTGGCAGAATTGTTCAAACATGGACAAACAACAGGCAAATAGATGGGTTGATGCAAATCAGATATACTATTAACGCTGGTGCACAGACTAGTTTTTAGTAGGAGGATGAACATAATGTTATGAACCTGTCTTCCTCCCTGAAAGGAATTGAACCATGGTGGTGGTACAGGACATGTTAATGAGAAGCAATATCAGCAAGCTAGATGAAGGGGAGACTGGAGAATATTCAATCCGACAAGCAATTAAATAGCCGGGCCTGGGGTGTCAGGGGGCTAATCTAGAGAAAGGTGGCTGGAAGGAGGAGCTGCTTGCTGTCTGTCCTGATGGGAGAGGTGTAGGCTAGAGGAGTGGATACAGAAGGTCAAAAACTCTGCTAGATAATATAACTTCCTCTACTTTGGGGTGAAGTAGGGGACTCTCTTCCTATGAGATTAAAAGCCTAATACTCATTTCACATTGCAGATTAGCGTGTAATTGTTTGGGGGAGCAGAAGGCTGCCTCCACTCTGCAGCCTCAGTGTGGGGACGAGGAGATGATTTCAGCGAGCGTGGTTCAGACTCGCTTGGTTGCACAGCTGAATAATAGCATTTAGCACTGTGAAAATTAAGGAAAACTGATTCAATAGTCAGGGTTTTGGGTGTGTTTGTGTGCGTTTTTTTAAACCTGGGTGCCTCACCTTGTGAAGCATTTTAAGGTATTGTTACTCCTAAGGTTGTCACTGACTTTAGATGCCACGCTGCTGCACAGATGAGTGCATCTTTACACTGCAGGGACAAATTCATATTCAGCACCGAGGTGACAACAGCAGTTCAGGTGATTTACACATGGACCTGAAGGCTTAGCACACTGCAGCCCACATTTTCACAGATCACACTGCCCACACTGGCTCTATCACACTGCCCTCTATCAATACATACCTGTTTACAGCTAATGTAGATTTAGACCCATTATCAGGTCTGTGGGTGGTAAATTGTACTCTGTGTACAGGTTAACTGCATCAGAGACCGCACACGCATATCAAGTAGAAAATGTAAATCATGCTCAGTATGACATAAATACTGTGCATTTTGTAGGTTAGGTTAGTTATATGTGTTAATAATCTGAGTCATATTTGCACAGCACCTTTCTAAATGAAAAGAGAAATAATGCAGAGCCCAATTAATAATTCTGAACGTTCATGTGAATACATCCGATCTTTTTTGTCGTCTAACCTTCCTCACCTGGATAATCCTCATTCAATATTAGTACACACCTCCTCCTGTTGACACAAAAAGCAGGTTATTGCCTGTCTGGAACTTGCGAAGCAGCTGTCGCTCAAAAGTGGCCATGTTAAAAATTTGAAAAGAAAACCCATCACTCATGTCCCTCCCATTGTACTCCTCCCTTTGGATATGTACTTTGTTTTGTGTTGACAGTGTAGTAAATAAAAAGAATAAAAAATAATGGATAGGGGTATGCGCTTTCCTTTCCTTTGTTCTTCCAGGAGCCGTTCTTTTTTTTTTTTTCCTCTCAAAGCCAGGTATTTGTTTACCCGGGCTTTTCATTAGCCCATGGCACTTCATCACTGTAAACAGTGCAGCACCATAAATCACCAGCTATGCTTGTTTTCCACCAATGCCGTTTAATTTAGTTCTGCTTAATTTGGCTGGCTAATTGCATGCATATTCAAAACAAGCTGGAGTATTGTGATGTTTATGCCGCACATTATGAGCGGAAGAGCTCAAAATACAAAAACAGCCTCTTCCGAAGACGTGTTTGTTCCATCTGCACTCAAATCATTACAGATAACAACTGTGTAATGCTCCAGGGGAACTGAAATGCCACTTCATAATTTTTCCGGTATACTGTATCCATCACATTACATAGTCCGGCTTTCTTTTGAAAGGACCTGCGTTTGTATTAAAAATGAAAGTGACACAGAAAATGGGTGATGGTTAAGAGATGACAGCAAGGCCTTTTTCCATGCTCTTCCATATAGAGAGAAGGGAAAGATGGGTTACTGACAGCTGGCCAGCAGGAGCTTCCATGGGGGCTTTCTGGCAAAACGCTGCTTCTACACTTATAGCGGGAGGTTTACAGTGCTGTTGTGTGTGGCCAATGTGTGTGAGTGAAGATAAGACCCATGGCAGCAGCGCTCCGTAGAGAACGGTGGGACACATTTGAGGCTCATGAAAGAGGGCTGACAGGAAGGTTATCAGCAGGGTGTTGCAGCAGAGGCCAGTAGGACGAGACAGCGCTGCAGAGTGACAGGCAGCGGTGGGGGATATCGGATCAGCCAAGCACAGAGAAACTGAACCCCGACACCCACAAAACAGCTGGCTTTAACCCTGTTGCAAGACACCACGGTAGGACTGTAACTGAATCAATTATTTATTTTAGAACATTAGAATCAGATCTCAGATTTCTAGGTCGTTAAGTCCATGAAGATTCATTAAAAAAACCCATAAAGTTTCCCAAGACCTGAGGGGCTAAGCGACTACACTGCCTCTGATCTTCAGTGTTAAATGCACGGTACCCTGCAGGCCAGGAGTCAAGTGAAAGGAGTTAGTAGCAGGTAACAGGGCAAGGAGATTAGGTAACAGTGGCTCTTAGTCCCACTCCTGCTGAGACAGCACTCGGATTTCCAATGGCGACGTGTCCACGTCTGGCTGTGAGAGGGAGGATACTATATGCAGAGCCAAAATGTACAGGGTGATAGACATATGGACAAACCCTACACGGGCCTCATATACTAACGCTTCATATATGGTCAAATTCTAATGCATCTTGGTCACACTTCACCTCCAGAATCATCCATCACTTACTCAGCATCCAGGGAGTAAGGATAGAGGTTGTGTCGAGTACCTGTGTTCGGCAGCCGAGTATGGTGTGGCGCTGGGGTGGAGAGGGACAGTGAGGATGAGTGATTAACTAAACTGCAAGTACACAGCCTCCCAACCCCCTAACAAGGCAGAGGATTTACATTCCATTGCATACCTGTCAGGAGATAGTTCAACAGTGAATAATAACACCAGACCAAGTGTTGTGAACAGGCGTGCAGGCAGGCTGTGATAGGGACAGCTGAGGAAAAGGGGGCTGCAGCAAGGAGCATTACTCTACTTTGCCTCCCCAGCATTAATGAAGACAAATAGTCTTTTATACAGATTGCATTACCGTGTTATACCACTGTGGGAGGGCGTAGGCGGCACTTGGTACTTATTTGTTTTTTTTCCTTTATTTTTGAAACACCTACTGCACAATTTAGCAAGGTTGTTCATCTTTTTTCATTATGTGCTAATACTTTGTTTGGCGACATTTTCATTTCCCACATAATTGTGGGAATATGAACTGTGAAGGTTTTGATGGGTTCAGAAAACCGCTTCTAAATCTAAATGGTGAACAATATCATTAATCATTTATATTACACAGGCGTAAAGTGCTTCAGCAACTATAGAAATGTTGCTGAGGAGAAGTGCCCTCTGGAAACCTAAAAAGCCCACTGAGCTATAATTAGTCCTATTTTAAAAAACAGGCTATCTGAGCACAGAAAGGCTGGAATCACAACTTACCGCAGCCTGATAACGTATTTACTTAACTGCTGACATCTGGAGGCATGGCAGCATCACCACAATGGAAATCAGGGAGATCTGAACATGAACAGTCAAACAATTACAAATCTATATATAAAACAAATAAAAATGTTGTCATATTCTGCATAAAACAAACTTAAATCAGATTTAGTCCTACAAAATCTGATAGAAATTTACAATGGAAAGCTTGGAAAATATAGTTACTTCTTTAAATTGGTGGTTTGGGTAATATTTTTAAAGCTTATGATAAAAATTAAGCCAAGGTTTTTGTTTTACATGTTCATGTATGTTTAGTTTTTAATTTGGACCTTTGTTTTTTTCTGTCAAAACATCGACTTTTCTGCAAAATGGTTAGTGGTTCTGAAAATCGAACAATCACTTCAACTACAACTAGGTTTGGTAAATTACAAAAAAAGGCGTTTAGGCTTCTCAAGCTCTAACGCACAGAAAGTTCATGATCTAAAATTACAGGACCGCCCGAGTAACCCTGTCTCGACTAAGGGTGTAGGACAATTCCGTATTGGATCTGTGACTCATTTATGCCACAGATTTCCTGGCAATGAGAAAACGAATGGATCCAAAATATAATCGACAGCGGTGCAATAAAGCATCTCTGGGAAAAGACAAGAGTAGCTGGGCCCTAACCTAACTCTTAAAACCGTACCAGAAGAGATTAAATGGGGATAACTGCTAAGCATTTGGCTCACATGACTTAAACATTGAAGCAATGTATAATGTCCTGAAGTCGCAGGTAAGCTTGTTGCAAAGATCAGAGACATGGGTGCAAGCACACAAACTTCAAGCTTGAAAGGTATGAAACTTTCTCTAAGCCCCTTGATGTCAGGATCCAAGGCTGGTCTGCACTGACACCTGCGAAAGCAACAAGCCCATGCTGACAAGGCTTGTCCTAGAGATGTCTTTCTTCTTTTTTCCTTTCTTCCCTTTTCTGTTGTTCAAATGTTGGGGAATTATTTCGGCTTGACTTAAGCATAAAACAGAACACAATCCAGTAATAAATCAAAGTACTTTTTACACTGCAGCTTTCCTTGAAAGACAACTTAAAGACTTATCTCTTCAATTCCAAACCAATATACTTTGACATGCACTGGAAATTGAATTAATCATCATCAAAAAGGGACACTCTCTGTAAGAGGGGGGAGTTGAAAGAGGGATGTGTTGGTAAATAGTGTCTTAAACAAACTCTCCTGAGTGCTGCTTGACAGAAAAATAATGAGGGAGAGAAGGAAAGTGATTAAGAATGCAGCATCCCTTATTTAACTAATCACTAGCACAGGCAAAAGAACGCGACTCCTATGAAAACCTCGGGGCCGAGGGTACACAGAAGTAAACAGGAAACAGAAATTAAGTGGAAACATGGAAGGATGACAAATGAACACACTGACAAATTTATTTTCTACATTTGCCTACAGAGTCTCACTACACTCTGCCTAACATGAGCCAATGAATCCCTTAAATCACAACTCCTGCCACAGTCAGATACATCTAGCTGAATGCTATCTATCTGTGGAAATCTTCAAAACTAGCCCAAAACCTCTCAGTGGACAAAGATAATTTTCTCATTTATTTCAAGAACTTATGCTATCTGTAAGCACCATTGATTGGTACATACCAGTACTCTCATTACCTGCAGGTATGCACCAAATACTCTTATGAGACTATTCTCCAGCAAATGAGATTCATGAGTTTGTTTCCTTTGCAATGCCACATAAGACTTTACACGTACTTAAAAATGAGGGAGCAGACCTTCTCCATCATTAATAACATTACAAATAATCTACACAAATAGAAAAGTGCGCTATTCCAGCGATTTGGGATGGATCCGTTTTGAAATAGTCACTAGCTCTGACCGGCTCTTCGAGGCATTACATCCAAATTAGATTCAACAATTGTGATGAAAGTGGGTTGGAGATGTGGCATTAATTACATGCTTTATTGTTGGATATTAAAACGTAGCTGTGCATGTAAATGATATTTATGGAATAATTCCCTTCAACTGCGTGACTGTGTGAAGTCCGTTGAAACAACCCATTAACAGCACAACACCACAAGGGATTAATGCCTCTTTCATCTTCTGTATTGTAACCGTTTTACTTTATTGCAGTGCACTTCATCTGTGATTTCAGAGCACAAAGGGAAAAATAAAGGACACATAAAATAGAGACATTTGTAGAAAAAATTTAACTATAAAGAAATTTAATTACAAAAATGTGAATTATTTTTGTACTTTGCATCACAGTGAGTTTTGATTTACGGTGCTATACCGCGCAATTACTTTTGCATGTCGAAAAACCAAATTACAAGCTTTGCCACTTGTTCCCCCCCTCAACTATACACCAAAATGAGCCTTGAGGCCATGCGTGGTTTTAATAATGCATGCGTGTTGTTTTTATTTTGCTGTGCATCAGAGACCACTTTGCCATATTTTCAGTTTGTATAATGATCATTTCCACAGAAAGCCAAACCGCACTATTCTTGTCATGGAAAAAGAATAATTAACACTGCAAAGGGTGGACGAGTAAACACAGTTTGCTTCACTTCCACCCCTGCACCCTTCACCCCATTGCCTCTTCTTTTAAGCAGTGCTACTGCACTTGCTAAAATTGTGCGCCTGCTGAAAGACTAATCTGAAGTACTTCCACCATGCCTTTGCCTTTTTTTTTTAGTCCACTTCAAGCTCTGGGGGATTGTGCAAGTAGCATACTGATAATGTCATTCTAATTAGCAACATTTTCCAAGGCGTTTTTCAGTAGGTGACCGCTGGGTTCATTTGGAGAAAACAGCACTTAGGATTCAAATGTTAATCAAATCGTGACATCGCTAATAAACTGTAAAACAAGCTTGTAATTTTAAACAGCATTTCCAGAAAGTAGAGTGCAACCCAGAGGTTCAGGCATCAGTTTCAAAAAGCTCTAAAAACATCATACAAAAAAAAAGAAGAAGAAAAAAAGAAAAAGAAAAAAAAAGGAGACAATCCCCAGTCCCGCCTCCATTGGTACCTGTGAGGGATTTGGAGTCCTTTCTGCCGTAGGGATCTGATCCAGTGCCATTTACAGAGCCCTCGTAGCTAATGCAGTCATAACAAAGCAGAGCTGTTCAAGGATGAAAAAGAACAAAAAAATATATATATGAAGAGAAAAATGGGGCGATTGAAAATAGTCAAGGACTGCTGATTTTCTTGAAAAAAAGGATAAAATACTTTTTTTTTTTTTTTTAAATTTGGGGTGCATATTTATATTCTGGCGGCATATCTTTCCAGGAACAGCCCTGTTTGATGTTATGGCTGTTTTAGCCATGCTGAAGCTCTTAAAACCACAGTGACTACCTGGACCTACATGCACCTGCGCAACCAATCATGCCTCCCTGAGCAGCGTAGGTATCAACTTAGTTTAAACAGGCAGGAGCTGGATGAAAACAGTAAACAGTGTTCTGGACACCTGCAAAATGAAAGTAGCAGGTGCAGAGGAGAGGGGGGAAAAAAGCTTAAACAGAAAGGTAAAGGCAGCAGCAGCAGCAGCAACGGGAGCCTCATAACCTGACAGAAGCCATAATCAAATTTGTTAGTGCTGGAAAAACAGACGTCTGGGTTAGTAAAGAGAAACAGGTTCAGATTACGTTGTGTTAAAAGCTTGACAGTTGAGCTGTTAGATTCAGTCTCTGAGCATTTGACATTAGAACAAAGACTGCGAAACAGATCGAAATGAAATTCTGTTTGTTTTTTCCCCCCTTTTTAAAGATACTTACTAAAAAGGTAGAAATAATGTTTTCAGAGTAAAAGTGCATTATGCATCTCTTGTTCAAAAGTCTTCTTTGCAGTACTTTCAAGATTTATTTCACTTACTTCTCTCTGTGCCGTAAGTTACAGTGAGGTTTATATTCTCCTTCAGTGGTCATAACAATTCGGTCAGTCAGTCCTACCTGCAAAGGCTTTGGAAATCCTCTCCTTCTTCCACTCCCAGGGCTGGTCGTACTCCTCAGGGGGTCGCTCATCATCCTGGGGCAGTCTGCTTTCTCTGGGGCAGCGCAATCGGTCAGGGTCTGAGTCGCCACCGTTCTCAGCTGGCTCGTATGGTGTGTCGTACAAGGGCAGCTGCCTCACGGGTCCGTCCTTAGGACCTCTCCCGCCAGACCTGATCTCTAAAAAACATGAGAAAGACTCATTGTTAATGCTAGGTCTCTGACATAAAACTTTATAGATGAAAGCTATAAAGTTATGACTGTAGGTTCACTGGCAAACACAAAGGCAACATATTTTATCAGGCCTGAAGTGGATATTTCTTGTAAAGCATGGAATATGGAAGAAATATGGAAGAAGTAGCCTCACATTTACACTTTTAGCATCTGTGTTAATACAGGAATAAAACTGTGACCAGTGACATCAGTTTGATGGCCAAAGGGCACAACTAGCATCACCTATCAAGCTGAAGACTAGAATCTTGTTTTCTATGTGTTCAAATGAGAAAGTATCCATAGGCTGAGCAAGTCCCTCACTTAGTGGGTTTGGCAAATTTACAGTAATATAGAAATAATAAATAAAATATAATAATAAATTTAGAAAATAAACAGCAAAAAAACAGACTAACAATGTAGTAACTTGTGGTGAGCCAAGTTATCAAAACACTGTTGTACAATATTAAAAGAATGTGCTTTGTCTAAAATACCAAATGCATTTCTTGTACAACAGCTAGAAGCATCTCAGTCAGAGGCCATATGTAAAATAGCAAGGCAATGCAATAGTTAATACCGGCATAAGATGGGTGCAGATAGCACAAGTCCTGCGATATCAGGTACAGAGCACTGTCAAAAGCAGGCTATTCTCACTGAAATCTGCCATCAACAATAGTCAGAAAGCAAAATTGGGCATGAATAAATTGAAAGGCAGGGCCTCCTACAACTATTATTCAGTGAATGGCAGTGACAGTTTGCTGTTGCTATTTGCAGAAAGTGGGAAGCGAGTCTGCACTGAAATAAAAAAAAAAAAAAAAGGTTGAGTTCATGCAAAAGCAGCTCTCTGCATAAAGCGTAGAAATCACACAGCGGTCCTCGATGAACATGCCCATCACTGTCAGAACCGAGTTGAATATAAAGTACCAATTTTCTTTCTCTCTGTAACATTTAACAACTCTTTGAAACCAACAGAAACCGTCACAAGCCTTAGAATAATTTTGTCGTAAATTATGTGAAAATGTCAAAGGGCCAAATAACGCCCCTGATCTTGATGTCACAAAAGCGAAGCAAGCTGTGGTTTCTTTTAAATAAAATGTTTTGTAGCCTCAATTTAGTTCTCAAGCCACATAAAGCCTTAAATCCTTTGAGCCTATTCCCTCTAGTGTAGAAATACTTTAATCATTGGTTTTGGAGGTGGATCCCAGAATAACTATTGATATAATACAGGAATGACAGGTTAGCCACAATAATAACAGTGTCACAAAAAAAGCAATTCCCAATACACTGCAGAACAATTTTCCATAATATCTGTGTAACTGAGTAATAAAAAATAGCTTGAAAAAGCAGACAAACACCTATTATGTAGTGATTCACTGCATTATGGCGTCACCACACAAAGTGGTTAAGTACTGACACACGACATGCTCGTTTTAATAATACAAAAACACAGAAACAGTGCTACAGTGTATTCATCAAGTATCACTTGAAGAAGAAATATGACATACTAGATATTTTCCCCACAACCTACCTAATGTATGATTTCATAGCAACCTTTGTACTACTTGTCAGCATTTCTCCATCAGACTTAAATTCTTGGCTAGACGCACAAACAGAAATGATGACCACCTGGTGACCTAATGCATTAGAAATTTTTTTTTTTTTTTTCAGAATGACCTCTCTTCAAGAAACACGGATGTTTGCAACTGGCAGAAAAGATGTGGGCACAACCCACATCCTCAACCCTGCTGTTCAACCCAGAAAGGGATTTTCCTTATGAATGTGACATCATTTAGCAGCAAATACTTATTGTATTAAGTTTATGTGCCACCACTCAGGAAAAGATGAAATGCAGGAGAGGATTTACAGTGCCAGAAAAGAAATAGCAGGATCAAAAAAAAAAAAAAAAAAAAGGAGGAGGTGGTGGTGATTTTATCTATCATGGTGGTTGGACAAAAACAAATGTGGGCATAATGACATTATACTTTGTGCAATCTTTGTAGAGTTCAAGAAAGGGCTCCGTTTTTAAACTTTGGTACCCTCCTGGAACATACACCATTAACTGGTTTCTGGAACATTGCCAGTTTGTCTATAGACATCAGTTATAAAACGTCTACGTTTTCTTTTGTTTACATGTATAATCATCAGTGAAACAGAAGGCATTGAACGTTGCTTTGTTGTTCAAAGGCGGTGGAAATACAAAGTAAAACATCTTAAGCGTGTTAACCAAATATGACTTTCCCCCTGTAACTGTTGCATGCAAGGAGCAAAACTGTCAATCCAGTGTACATTTTTATACTCATGAGTCACGTCGCAAATCTAGTTAACATCACCTGACCACAACTAAAACGCATGCCCACCCTTTCACTCTCCATGTAAGAAGGTGAAAAAGACCTGACGATGCTAATGAAGCATCATGCCCTTGAGAACTCTCCTCTCCCTCTTCCACCGCCTCCTCCCCTCTCCAACCTTCCTCTTCTCACATGAAGTTGTTAGCAGCCTGCACCTTTCCTCCTGGGCCACATGAAGCTGTTGGCGGCCAGAACCACCATAGAGCAATGCGATGTGAAGAGAATGAAATATTATGCCACACTACTGCATAATTGCCTCTTGGCCCAAGGGAGCTCTTGCGGAAAAATGAGCAATGCGTTGAGCCTAATGGAGCTACCCGCCACTGGTGGTGGTGTAGGGGTGGAGTGAGGTGAGGCTGCCAGGTCCCGTATCTGAACGTAATCCCGCATTAGACAAACTTGCACTCTTTGATCTTGGCAGTTAAAAGCCTTGGTGTTATGAGATCCTACCACGATTAGGCCCTACCTTTGTTGCAGAAGAACAAATAACTCTGGAAGAAGGGAAAGAAAGCAAGTTGCAAGGAAGGGGGAAAATTAATGGGGGAGGTGTTACATTGGTGGGGTGAGTACACCATGTGGAAAGAACCCTTTAATTGAAGGCATGCTGCCTTCAATAAACTGTTGCGGTGGACTGAGACTCCCTGCTAAACCAGGCTTGTGTATGGAGACAGGAGCCTTGTTGGCCTCCTTATCTTTATTTGCATTTAAAAAAAAAAAAAAAAATTCTTCCTCCCAACCTTTCGTTCTTCCTTCTTTCCTACTGCTCGTCTTATTCATCTCGTCAGTTCCTGTTGATACACGTTTAGTAAACAGGGAGGGGGCACATCTGTCAAGACAAATTGCAGAGACTGGCCTGACCGTGGGGTTGCATGTAGCAACACTGCTGCAGCCTATATTTTGCATTTGACCCCTACCCTCTGATCAGGGTCAGAAGTCAAGCACCACACCCTCTCTTGATCTACCTCATACCTTCCCCTCCCCGGATGTCAGAGTTCCTGTCCAGATGCTGCACTTCCACTTTTTGCTTTTTACAGCCACCCCCCCAAAAAAGCTTGCAAAATGTGATTTATAAACCTCTCTAGGGGGCAGCAACATTGTTTTTGTATGTTGGAAAAGCCCTAATACAGTCCACCACCCTCAACAGGGTTTTCAAAAGTCATGTAGTGGCAGCAATCTAACACCCACAACCATCTGTTTAGTGCTACTAAAAAAGATGTTTGCGATGGCAGCACACTGCTGAGAACCGAACATCTGCCTTTGCACCGAGAAGCAATTTTCCCTAATGAAAAATGACAAATACTGCATGCCAAAATAATAGGTGTCCACAACTGAAGGCAAAAAAACCAAAGTAAAATAAAATAAAATAGGAAAAAGAAAATTTAATCTCCAAAATAAGAGGCAGATCCAATCTTTGTTTTCATTTTTCTTCCTGTGGTTCCAAACTAAGGAGATTAATTCTGAGAGAGAGGAACATGTTCCTTGCTATAAATCCAGGGAGGCTCCTGTTCTACTTACTGCATGAGTAGCCCTCTGGGCATATTATCATGGCAGCGCAAGGGCAGTCAGAAAGCTCTGGATTAAATCAAAAAACATTAACTGCAACAAACCTGGCAGCCGCATCCTGCTGCACATAAAGAACTGATCAAACCATCCTGCCATCACCATCATCCAGACCGATTCTGTGTTATTTTCCTCCATTTCCATTATTGACTGTCAGTAAATTCACTGCATTTGCAAGAAAGTAGCAAACAACTACATAACCGTGCTTTTATTGCGAGGCTAAAGAGTGTAATATGTAAAAGAAAAACACATTTATCTGCCTCTCTGGTTGACTACCACCCACCCACTCACACTGAGCCAGAGAGAATTTGCTGCTGTGAGGCGCTTTCAGGGGCACAGGGAATATCTGGATTTGATTGAGGGCATCTCTTGAGCACTACTGAAGGATTAAATGTGACTGACTTTACACCCCTAGAAAACAATGTGCAGAAAATATCCAGGCTTAAGGATTTGCTCTGCCTGCTCTACCAGCTAAATCACTCTTAAAAGAAATCCTTTATCATTTGAGTTGGCTTGCTTTTTAACAAGGTGAATTTCTGCTGACAGCAACTCCTTAAAGTGAATTACAAAATATCACAAGTGAAACTGGATGTAGAAAATGAGACTAAAAATGGCTTTTTTGTTCATGTATTAAACAGATACATTTAATTGCATTTGCTTTCTGATTCGCTAAAATAATAAAAGACATGGTCCTCCCAAAGACACATATTTAACAGAGGTAGAAAAGGAGCTGATGAACAAAGCTTTGATTTCGTTCCGTTTGATTGGCCTAGTCTGTGACGAGAAAACGGGGTTGATCTGGTGTTCAAAGCCAGAGATTTGAGCAATATCGGGGGCCACCCACAGGTACTGTGTGTCAGTCAGAAAGCTCACTGACAAGTAAAGGTGTTTGTTCATTGACCCATGGCGCCTCTGTGTTGAGTATAAATCTGCTTAGTGACTAGAGCCAAGAGGAGGCTCTTGCTGCTGACGGTTCCCCACAGATCTCTGGGAGAAAAGTTTCAGTAAACAAAGACACCACAGTCCTGTCATCTTTGTGTCTGTATCTTGGCTAAATTATGA